GTGTATGTATACACACACATATGATTCCTACGCAGGTAGGAAATTAGGAAACAGACACACTACTGGCGCCGCACGCGTTTGTTGTAAGATAGGGTCCTATATCCCTTGAAGCATTGTTTTAATTGGTCTTGGTGTCTAAGTCTCCTAGGGGTGCATTTAGGGGTGTGCGATATGGTCCACATAATGTCTTAATTGTTGTGTGAGCTGGCATTATTGAGTTTGTTGCTTTATAAAAACAATCAAAAACACCTTGAGAGTCCACACATAGCTGCATCATGTAGCCTGGCTGGATAGTCACAGAGTGCAGCAGCATGTACATGATTACTGCACCACTAGTTAAGATAGCGTAGCTGCCTAAAGTGCATTAGACAAGTTAAACGTGCGTGAACAGACAGCAAAAGCCTCTGTGAACTAACCACCACACAGAATATGAAAACCTTCGGGAGACATAGCCACACATTATGGACTACATAATTACATAAACATTACATAATCTTAAAACATTAAGATTATACTGCAAGCTAAACATATCTAGCCCCTGCCCAAAACAATTCAAGGCATGTCACCTTTACCATGAGGCCACAATAAAAAAAAAAACAACTTGTCCATGCTGTCATATATATATAGACTCTTTACAGCCGAGTAGGCTTTGGAACGGCCTAAGAAAACACACAACTCTGACAAACAAGGAGCAGGAAGTAGCTTATCACAAAAACCTGAACATGACTTCACTGTAGAATAGCAATGTTTACTACGCTGTGATGGTAACTAAGCCAGGAGCCTGCTACTTTACCTTCCCAAAACAAAAACACAGTCAATAGTCTTACTAATGTTAAATAAATATGGCATGCTTGGGCTGTACAGCTAACCTGTGTCTATTTAACTGTTATGGCTCCAGATAGCTTATGCTGGCTTTTCTTCACTGCAGCTTTGTTTTGTGCAGGGCTGACACCTGAGCCCAGGCCTTCTCTCTCTAAAGGAACTACTCTCTGATAGTCGTTAACCAGTGATTCCAGTAGGAATGTCCTACTGGTCTGTTGGCTTTTCCCAGGACTCTGGAGACACTCCTAGCCACATGGAACAACAAAGCAGTGAGTAATCTGCCTACATCTCATCCACCCTTCAGTGAATTCTCTCACTACACAACTTTGTTTTCTTGCCGTGGTGCAAACTGAAATGTACTGATGTGTGGAGTGACTAGTATTTAAATTTAGCAAAGAGAGAACTGAAACGGATTGAGCGCCATAAGTCGTATTTATTGTTGTCTGCCTGTACTCTGTGCATGAACCAGACTGTGCTCTCTGAGCACAGGAAGAAAGTTTTAGTCTCATGAATTTAGCAGCAGATTTCAGTACACTGTGTGTATTTGTGTGGCAAATGACAGGCATAAATAAGATATGGAAGCGTATAGTGGAGTATAGTAGATTATATTATAGTGGGCTGCTCATAGTTAAAAGCAAAGAGGAAACGGTTTAATATTTTGTCTTTGGAGTCCTGCTTAAGGCGGAAGTGTCTTGTTGTTTTGGCTGACTTGTTCTGCTTCTGACCACATAGTGCCTACTTTTTAACACATATTTGACCAGTTTTGTAGTGTAACATAAAGCCTTTAAAGATTTTTGCAGTTAAACATACATGTATTTTAAACCTGAAACTCATCACTATAATCCACGTATATATCATCACTTATAAGGGTTATTGCTAATTTTTTTTTTAGGTCACGTCTCTAGATCTCTGTAGAATAAGTAAAACTTCATCTCTTTTAATGGTTCTAAAATAAAAGCTATTTGTTATGCCTGTGATTTTTTTTTTTTTTTTTAAATCACAGGCATGACAAATAGCTTTTATTTTCAGCACTTTTCAGGAAGAAAGGACCATTGCTTCAATGAGAGTTATGAATACAAACACTAACATTTAAAAGTTAAAGATTTTAATAGTTTATTTACCTGTCTAAGCTTGAAGGTCACCAACACATGTCAGATAAAAACAATAAAACAAAGACTGTGGACATCAGATGTGCACTTGAAGAGGATGTTGTCATGCTGACGTGCTAACTAGCCAGAGCTAAATTTGCATTTAATGTAGTGGATCTTTAAGTGGCACAGTCGTCACTGGGTGGTGTGTACATGTTAGCATGAAGTCTACTTTCGGCTCTAAAGGTGAAAAGAGGTACACCTAATGGTGAAATAGTTGATTAGCCATAGATTTGGATAATTGCCATTTATAAAAGCAAAAAAGACAACCATTCTCTGTATGCAGCTTCTCCAAGTGTGGACTTTCTCTTGCTTTTCCTTTTTTATAAGATTGTAAACTGAACATTATAGAGTTTTGGAGTGTTGACAGACAAAGCAAGAGATGTCATGTGGTCTCCTGAAAATCGTGGGCAATGTGGATTCAGAAGGACGCCCTGGCTAATTCATTTAATTTCTGTTAAATTCTATTCAATTCAGTTTTATTTTAATTGAAATCACAAATCTCAACAAAAAATATCGCAGGGTTTTCTCAAACCCTGATTAGTGTTTTAAATGTTCACAACCAGCCCATACACAGCCCAGAGCATACTTGTTTTTGTGAGGATCACTTTCTTGTTTACACTACCAGTCAAATGGTTGAGACACTTGACAATTGAATTCAGTGGTAAAGTGTGTCCATACTGATAGTGTATTTGCATTTTTATGCAGTTTCAAGATGTTTTCATGACACTGTTCACCGAAAGGTCCTCAATACAACCCTCTTCTCAATTGTTTTAGGCTATTTACAATACTTTTGAAAATCCATTTTATGTACTTTTCATTTTTCAAATGAACTGAATTTATTTTATACATGTTTTTATGAAATTACATGACACTGTTTACAATTTACACATTTGTTAGCATTGCAATTCTGAATGGTTATGGAAATATTAAAAGTGCTAAGCATTTTTATAAAAACGATTCACACCATGCAGCCTTAAAGAATTAGTGCATATTCAGAGCACCATTTTGAGTGCTAACAAACTAGAAACACATCCAGTAAGATTGTTTCATTTGAAAAACTAAGTCAACTGGCATCTGCAGCATTTTAATTTAATTGTTAGATTATGGCCAAATGTTCTATGGTGAACTCCCATTGCCTGCAGTGTATTTCACTTGATCTGTGTGCATCATAACCAGGAGAGATGGGGAGATTCAGATTGAAAAGTACGACTGTTTGCTTTTACCCTGATTGCATAAGAACAAATCTATCTCCTCTGATCGCATTTCATTTGAGGACATTTAAAATATGTCATTTACCAATATCCGAAGACATTTTTGTGAACAAGTGTATGACCTCAAAGTAATCTTGCTTTAAATACAAGTCATGCAACTGTACTATAGTACCTACTCGTCAGGTCAAAAGTACAGTGGTCACGGGTAGAAAATACTGCCTGTCAAAAAGCACAGAAATCATAAGGTAAACGTATATTTTTGTAATGCAGATGCATGTAAGGATTGTAATGATCCTCTATACTACACTTCTAATCACATAGTCTTGGCCAAGGCGCGCACACATTTAATATGATGATTGTGTAAACTAAAATGATTTGTTTAGGTTAGACTATAGAAGTGACAAACAGCCAGTGCATTTTTAATATTCAAGTAAAATATTCTTTATTCAAAAGTCAAGTAGCTTGCTAGCTAACATTATTATTGGCGGATGCTGAAAAGCATCCATACTATGTTATCCTGTTCTATATTATTATTATTATTATTATTATTATAGTGTAGATGCTGTAGCATCCACACTGTTTTCCTCTTATTGTGTGGATGCTGTAGCATCCACACTCTTTTTTGCTCCTATTGTATGGATTCTG